TGTCCTACATTAGTTTGCTTACGACGCATTTTTACATACGAAAATATAGGGTGTAACAGTTAAAGAGTGACATCATATAAGTAGGAAGTGAGTCAAGTACTGAATTGATCAGAATCAGTCTTCCTCCTATAAATATATATTGTTCTTTCCATCTAGATAACTTCTTCTCACATTTTTCAATGACTGTGTTCCACGTCTCCTGGACTTAGACTTAGCACCTAGAGGCATGCCAAGATAGATAGCAGGAAGAGATCCTACTGCACCTCCCAGTATTAGTGACAGTTGCTCCATCTCAGGTACTACATTAATTGGGAAAAGGTGGCTCTTTTTCCAATTGATGTGGAGTTCTGAGATACCTTCAAACAAAATGAGGATAATTCTAAAATACCTCAATTGCTCCTCTTTTGCATCACAAATAATTAGGGTGTCCTCAGCATATTGAAGATGTGTAATCTCCAGGTTGTTGTTTCCAATTCCTGTTACCTCAAAGCCTTTGATCCATCCATTGGTTTTTGCAGTTTTGACCATATTGTTCAGACCCTCCATAACTATTATGAAAAGAAAAGGAGATAGAGGATCTCATTGTCTTAAACCTCTCTCTGTGTGCAGGTAAGAAGCCTTCAGGGGACCCATTAATGAGAATAGAGAATTTAACTGAAGAAATACAAACACTCACCCACTTGATCCATTTCTTCCCAAAACCCATTAGTTCCAACATTTTCAGCAAGAATCTCCAATTGACATGATCGTATGCCTTCTCAATGTCTAGTTTGCACATAATTCCTGCCTTTTTTAGTTTGTTTCTTGAATCTACTGATTCATTAGCTATTAGAACAACATCCATTATTTGTCTTCCATTGATAAAAGCCATCTGCTGTGCATCCACCTGTTTATCTATCACCCTTTTGAGTTTCTCTATTAGAACCTTTGAAAGCAGCTTATATAAACTGCCTATTAAACTTATAGGCCTAAAATCCCTTAATTCCTTGGCTCAGGTCTTCATAGGAATCAAAGCAATGTATGTTGCATTGAAACTCCTTTCAAACAATTCTTGAGAGTGAAAATTATGAAAAGCCTCCATAATATCTTGCTTCAAAACATCCTAGCATTTGATAAAGAAACCCATTGTGTAGCCATCAGGCCCTGGAGCCTTATCTACTGCACATAGCTTCAGACATGTCAAAACTTCTTGTTCCTCAAAGTTGCTTTGTAAAATCTCATTTTCTTCTTCATATTGTGGGATAGTTGTCAAAGTTAACTTCAGGTCTCCATTCCATAGCCTATGTATAAAGATTCTTGTAGAATTCAATGATCTCAGACTTGATTCTCCCTGGTTCCTCAATTGTTTCATCATTCACCACTAGTTGATCAATGTTGTTGCATCTCTTATGAGCATTAGCAGTTTGGTGAATGAATTTAATGTTTCTGTCTCCTTTCTTAAGCCAAAGAGCCCTGGATCTTTGCCTCCATGCAATTTCTTTATTTTTCAGGTGTTCCCCATATTCCATGAGTATAGATGCCTTCCTCACAGATTCCTCCTCTGTCAATGCTCTTGTTTCTTGTATAGAATCAAAGGCTGCAAGTTGTTTTAGCAGGTTGGATTTTTGTACCCCCCAAATTTCCCTAGCTACTTCTGCTCCATTCTATGAGCTTGCGCTTTAGAGCTTTAAGTTTGCATGCTAATATATAGTCTGGCCTCCCATAAAATTCAAATGATGTCCACCATTCTCTGATCCTGTCTACAAACCCTTCAGTGTTCAGTAACCACCAATTATGAAATTTAAAGTAGGATTTGGTTTGCTCCCAAGAACCACATTGTAATGAGACTGGAACATGATATGATATCGGTCTATGGAGGAGAACTTGTTTTATGTTCCTGAATCTGTCATCCCAATCTTCTGAAATTAGGATTCTGTCAATTCTGGATGCAATGACCTGATTGTCTCCTTTGAACCAAGTAAAGGTTCCCCCTTTCTAATTGGAGATCAATAAGCTCCATGTCTTCTATAAAATCTGAGAACTCCACCATAGCTCTAGATTTTCTGTTACAATTCCATTTTTCAAAAGGAAACGTAGTGACATTGAAATCACCACATACATCCCAAAGCCCTTCCACTAATCCTCTTACTGCTCCTATTTCCTCCCAAACAGCTCTCATTTCAATGTTGCAATTAGGAGCATATACTCTTGTGACATGACATATGAAATTATGCAAAAAAGCCTTGAATGTACATGTCAGAGTGTAGGCTCCTATCTGTAGCACCTCTTTTCTCCAAACTCTACAATCCCATAGCATTGTAATACCCAATCTGGTACCACTAGCTTTCAGGCATGCATATCTCACCCATCTCCCTCCCCAGATCTGGCTAATAACCTCCTTTATATCCCTCTCTAATTTTGTTTCTTGAAAGCAAATAATATCTAATATCTGCCTTCCACTCCAGTACTAAACTTTTTATAATTCTCCTCTTAGCCAAATCGTTCAAACCCCTAACATTCCATGATACTAAATTGATCATCATTATTCAATAGCTGGCAGATTGTTCCCCATACTTCTTTTTCCATTACTTTTGAACTTGACATCAAAAGAAACTAAATCTTTCAACTCTTTCTTACCTTTGAATCTAGTCTTTTTGACTTCTGATTCCGGTTCCATCCTTCTAATTTGTCTTTATCTATCGATTTGCAAAAGAAGCTCCAAAGCTTCTTCTTCATGACCCAAAAAATCCACTCCAAACATCTTACTCAACCTGAGTAAATTCTGGTGCACCCAAAGTGTTGCATTCATCTCTTTTTCTGGGAGTGAATTGTGATGATGAATTGAGATAGGAATAACATCTTCGACTCCCCAATCTTCCTCATTAATCTCCGAGTTGAATTGGCTCAATTGTTATTGTTGCCCAGGTTCGTCCCTTGGCTGGTCTTCCTCCACTTTGATTATGGCCATAGCATCTTCTGCCTTTTCTCCCTGTATCCTTGTCCCAATTTCTGCTTCTGGCCCCATGCAAATTATTGAATTCACATCGTAACTACCAATTCTTTCGATTGTCTCGAAGTTTAGTGGTTAAACTGTTTAGATATTCCTTCTGGTTCGAGTAAGAAGTTGCCCAGTTCTTCTAAACATGAGTCAATCCTTTTATCTTCTGCGGGCCTTAGTTGAAAGTCATAAAAAATGACTTGGGCCGAAAAATCTGGCCCAATTGGAGTTACAAAGCCAACGTTGGTTTCACTAAAGGAGCCCAATAATTTTCCTTCCCCCAATCCATCTGCATGCCTAGCACGTGCCTTCTCATTTATTTTAAAATAAATGTCATTACACCCCACGTGGTCTACAGTTGTCTGACTGTCCTGCTCCCCTACTACGTAGGAAGTCTTTGCCGTATGGTTTTTAAGAAGCTTCGACCCATTGTATTCTCCGTTGGTCTTCAGTATTTCCGACAACTCCGTCTTCTTCGGCAACCCTAATTCAAAACGCGTTTGTTTTTCCGCCCAGATTGGGATAAAATATTTTACCCCGTCTCTCTCAATAGTAACCTCAGATGGTATATTTCGTCCATCGCCTGCTATTTCAATCCTAGCCCATTTCAGATGATTCCTACGTTCCGTCTCTTCCTCGGTAGCTATCCACCCACCGCATAGTTCTCCAATTTCTCTGAAGATCTTTTGTTTCCACAGATGCAGAGGCACTCCCATTGCTTTGATCCAGGTGGTCTTGACTGAAAAGGAGTTAGGTATACATCCAGCAATGGGGTTCCACCATTCCAGGTAGAACCTATGTTTCTTTCATCTCCATTCTCCTTGGATGATCTGTTCAGCAATGTTCCTGTTTGGGAATTCGAAAAGATTCGAATTCCCAGTCATGTCGTACATATTCACCCCAAATACTTTGCTCTATGAAGCAGAGACCCATCTCCTGATATCTGCTAAAGTGGGTCTCTCCTTGACTTCCTTCCCAAAATATCCAATGATGCATCTTTTCAAAAGTCCAGTGTCCTTCACTCCGGGTATTTCCGCAATCTTTATAACTCCATTTAATGAGTTTCCATTTACTCCAGAAGGAGTGTTGGACTTTCATTTACTCTCTTGGACTGCTTTGGCATATGGGTAGTTCATTTCAGTAACTCTGGGTGGTACTGGGATATTCAATTGAGAATCGCATTTAATAAAACTTTCTATCTTGAATGCTACATCCTTCCATCCTGCATTTATGACTGACTCAGGTATGATAATAACTGATCTAGCTACCTCCTGTAGTGACAAGATGCTCATATACCTTCTGTGTTCATTGTACTTCCTGGAACAGAAATATTCTGAAATCCTGTCTTTTGTTTTCCATCTCCTCACCATATTCTTTGGTCTTTCAGGCCTCTTTGAGTACAAAACAGATCCATTCCATAATCATTTTGCTCATTGTTGATCGTCTCATCATGTTCCGACTTCTCTCCACCCGGTCAAACCATGTGTCTTTGTTGGAATAGCATCTGGTAATGTCAAAGGATTTGAAACCAGCATTAAAAAAGATTCTGCTTTCCCCCATTACAAGTCTTATTTCTTGCTATAAGAACAATAAAGGGTGTTGGAGTAGTAGTCTTCACAGTGGGTGAAGACTAGTATAGGAAGAATTTTAAGAAGAACAAGTTAATTTCTGGTGAAAGAATCTACCGGAAAAGGTTGTTCTATAGTCCTAGAAAGTAGGAGAGAAAAAGATCTCTGGATCTGTGTCTGGGAGCATTTTTAGCGGTACTCAGTGTAGTAGATAAGCAGGTGAGAGACAGAATTTCCAATGACGATTGGAAATGAGCCTTTATTAGACTTATTTCTTGATCTATCTTTAGTGGCAGCAAATGTTTCAGCTTTTGTGGCAGAAAATAGAGAAAATGGGACTTGGAATACAATCTTCAGAAAGAGGTTCAATGACAAGGAGATCGACAGGGCTACAAAATTTTACAACCACTTAAGCACATTCAAACAACTTACTGATTCAGAAGATGGCATCACAACAGTAAAGGAATGTTTACTGTGTCTTCTGGGAAGCAAATCTGGAATACAAAAGCCCCTCTCAGGGTAGCTTGTTTTACCTGAATAGTGAGCAAAGAAGCTTGTCTTACTTACAAGAATTTACAAAAAAGAGGGTCGGCTCTATGCAGTAATTGCTTCCTATGCGGGAAACAACTCTAGAGTATTCGTCATTTGGTTTTGCATTGCCAAGTTACTGTCCAACTGTGGCAGCTTTTATGAACATAATTGGTCTGCAGTGGGTAATGCCTAGTTCAACAACTGATTTGCTTAGCTGCTGGAACATAATTGGCCTTAGTAATGGCAAACTTAGATGGTGTAACACGATACCTTGTATTTGGTACATTATTTGGACCGAAAGGAATAGAAGATACTTTGAAGACTCTTGCTAATTCTGTCATTAGGATAAAATACAGATGTATTATTTTGTTTTGCACATGGTTTAGAATGGAGAATGTAAATGATGCAGAATCAGTCCTACAAATTTTAGAAGCCCTAAAGGATTAGAAGGGGCAAACTTTTGCTATTGTTGCTTCTGTAAATACTGTTCACCTGTTGCAACACATCTTTTGTGGTTGTTTATATACAACACTACCTTATCTTTCCAAGAAAAAAAAAACAGTAAAAATATAATTATTACTATTATCTATATATACCTAACTTATTTTTCACTTTTATTTTTATTTGGTATGAAGATGACATGAGTTGAGATTAAATGGAGAAACATGGTCAGGAGGATTCATATAGCCAACCTCAACTTGTTTCGGGCTGAGATATAGTTGTTTTTGTTGTTTATTTCAGCTAAAAGAAGACTCGAATGAACTTATCAAAATGTCTCACTAACTTTTTCAAACA